TCTAGTTCCACTACATACAAATACATATTTTGCTGGTCTGACCCAATCCTTTTCTCCTGGTCCTTGGATTTTTTATTCAGGAGCCACTGATCGTATTACTGGTAACACTAACTGATGGCTCTAGAGTATCATCTCATGTTGTTGGAACGGTTAAACTTTTTCCTTCTTTAATCATTGATAATGTTCTTTATGTCCCTAGGTCTCCTTTTAACATGTTGTCCATCAGTCGTCTAACTCGTTCTCTTGATTGTGTTGTTACTTTTATCAACAATTATGTGTATTTACAGGACCAGAGTTCAAAACAGATGATTGGCACAAGATGTGAGTCTCATGGTCTTTATTATCTTCGTCCCTCTACCCATGTTAGTACAGTTATGGAGTCTCCCTCTCTTCTTCATGCTCAGTTAGGTCATCTAAGTCTTGCTAAGTTACAGAAGTTTGTCCCTGCCTTATCCAACTTATCTTGTTTGGCGTGTGAGTCATGTCAATTAGGCAAGCATAGTCGTACTTCCTTTCCTCGTAGTTTCACATGTGGTGCTTCGTCCCCTTTTGTCATGGTTCACTCTGACATTTGGGGACCTAGCCGCGTTAAGTCTACTTTAGATTTTCAATACTTTGTTACTTTCATTGATGATTATTCCAGATGCACTTGGTTATTTTTTATGAAAAATCGTTTTGAATTATTTCATATCTTTCAAACTTTTTTTAATGAAATTCAAACTCAGTTCGGTGTTTCTATTAGAGTTTTGCGTAGTGATAATGGTCGTGAATATCTTTCTCATTCTTTTAAACAATTCATGGCTTCTCACGGTATTTTGCATCAAACTTCTTGTGCTTATACACCTCAACAAAATGGTGTAGTTGAATGTAAAAATAGACATCTTATTGAAACAACTCGCACACTTTTAATTCATGGAGAGGTTCCTCAACATTTTTGGGGTGATGCTCTTCTTACTGCATGTTATCTCATTAATCGCATGCCTTCTTCGATTTTAGATAATAAAATACCTCATTCCATTTTATTCTCTCATGAACCACTTCATCCTTTACCTTTGAGAGTTTTCGGGTCTACATGTTTTGTTCATAATTTCAGGTCTTGACAAGCTTTCTCCTAGATCACATAAATGTGTTTTCTTAGGGTTTACAAGATCACAAAAAGGATACAAATTTTTTTCTCCTTCTCTTAACCATTATTTTGTGTCTGCAAATGTCACCTTTGATGAGTTGTCTCTTTATTTTAAAAGTCAATCTTCACCTCTGTCTCCATCCAATCTTGTCAACACTCCTAGTACATTTAATGTTCTTGTTGTTTGTGACCCTCTAACTGTGTCTTCTTCACCATTAGTTCCTGCTCCACAGTCAGCTTCTTCTCCACTTCCTCTTCAGATTTATAGTTGTCGAAACCAATCACAACCACCACCATGTGACTCCACTCAAGTGCCAACTACTCTCTCTCCTCCGGATCTAACACATGAGTCTGACCTTCCCATTGCCCTCTGAAAAGGTATTTGTTCTACACGTAATCCCTCTCGCCATTATATTGTTTTGAGTTATCATCGACTGTCATTACCTTTTTATACATGTCTTTCCTCTATTTCTTCTGTGACCATTCCAAAAACTGTCCGTGAAGCTTTAACCCATCTTGGTTGGCGTCAGGCCATGTTAGATGAATTAAGTGCTCTTCATAATAGTGGAACTTGGGAATTGGTCCTGTTACCATTTGGGAAATTTTTTGTTGGTTGCAGGTGGGTGTTTGCTATCAAAGTTGGACCTGATGGTAATATTGATCACCTCAAAGCTCGTCTCGTAGCCAAAGTTTATACTCAAATTTTTGGGTTGGATTATGGAGATACCTTTTCCCCTGTGGCAAAGATGGCTTATGTTCGTTTATTTATCGCCATGGCTGCTCTTCAACAATGACTTCTTTATAAACTGGATATTAAAAATGTTTTCCTCAATGGTGATTTGCAAGAAGAAATATATATGGAGCAACCTCCTGGGTTTGTTGCTCATGGGGAGTCTTCTGGGATGGTATGTCGTATTCGCAAATCCCTATATGGCCTAAAACAGTCTCCTAGGGCTTGGTTTGGAAATTTTAGCAAGGTTGTTCAACAATTTGGTATGACTCGGTGTGAAGCATATCATTCTATCTTTTATCAACACTCGAGTGTTGGATTTGTTTACTTGATAGTATATATTGATGGCATCGTTCTTACAGGTAGTGACAACCATGACATCTCTCAATTGAAACAACATCTCTGTCACCATTTTCATACCAAAGATCTTGGCAAACTTAGATATTTCTTGGGTATTGAGGTGGCACAGTCCAATGATGGTATTGTTATATCTCAGAGGAAGTATGCCATAGATATTTTGGAGGAAACTAAGTTGATGAGTTCAAAGTTTGTTGATACACCTATGGATCCCAATACTAAACTTCTACCAAATTAGGGGGAGTCTATATCTGATCCTGAGTAGTATAGAAGATTGGTTGGAAAATTGAATTATCTTATAGCTACTCGTCCTGACATTTCCTTTGCAGTTAGTGTGGTAAGTCAATTTCTTAATTCACCATGTGAAGATCATTGGAATGCATCATTCATATCTTGATGTATATTAAAGGATCTCCTGAAAAATGATTGTTATATGGTTCTAATAATCATACAAGAGTTGTTTGCTACTCAGATGCTGATTGGGCAGGATCTCCTTCAGATAGAAGATCTACATCTGGATATTGTGTCTCAATTGGTGGTAACTTGATCTCATGGAAAAGTAAGAAACAAAGTGTTGTGGCAAGATCCAGTGCAGAAGCAGAATATAAAGTTATGGCCTCAGCTTCCTGTGAACTTATTTAGCTCAAGCAATTGGTTAGAGAGTTACAATTTGGAGATGTCACTCAATTGACACTTGTGTGTGACAATTAGGCTGCTCTTCATATTAGTTCTAATCATGTCTTTCATGAGAGGACTAAACACATTGAGATTAACTGTCATTTCATTCGAGAAAAGATTATGTTTGGAGATATCAAGACTGAGTTTGTTAACTCAAGTGATCAGTTAGCAGATATTTTCACTAAGTCTTTACGGGGGCCTAGAATTGATTATATTTGTAACAAGTTTGACACATACGATTTGTATGTTCCAGCTTGAGGGGGAGTGTTAGATATTGTTAGATATTATTAAGATATTAATATCTTTTATTTATTTTGTTTACTTTCGATTACTCTTTTAGTTGTACCTCTCTATTATAAATAGATTACCCTATGTGTGATTTATACACAAGGGAGATTAATTTCAAACCCTATTTCCTCTATATTCAACAAAATCTACATTTATAACATTTAAAAGTCATTTAAAAGCCATTTAAAATGAAATTTAAACTTCTCTGCCATTTATAAGTCATTTAAACTTCTCTACCTTAATTTTCGGAAATGAAAACCCTAGCTATGGTATACCACCGTCGCACACTGTCATTGTGCACCACTGTCGCACTGTCAGTCGAACCACAACGAATCGATGAAACCCTCGAACTTCAAAGTCACTTTGACTTCATACAACCTTTACAGAGAAAGGGAAAGAAAGAAAAGACCTTTGGTGTGTGACGAGAAAAGAAGAGAGAACGAAAAGTAAATAGGACAAGAAAAGAAGAGAGAATGAAGAGTGGTTGTGACGAGAAATGAAGAGTTTTGGTGCGTGAGAAGAAAAGAAAAGTTTCTACTTTTTAATTTTGTTTTTTTTTAAATAATAATCTTTGTTGAATAATTTATTTTTTTAAAAAAATAGCTTTGTTTTTTTTTAAAATAATTACACGTGTCAAATAATGAATGGATCATACTATCTCTTTTAGACAGGTCACCATATATTTAATACTCGTTTAAAATAGGGACCTATTCCAATAATTTCAAAAGTATATGGATCATTTTTATGTGAACTTTGATAAATGAACTATTTCCAATTTCACATGAAAATATATGGACTAAAAACATACTTAACCTTTTTAAATAATTAGTTGATATTTTTTTAGTTTTAATGTTGATTTTAAAATATTTATTTTAACATATTTTTTATTAAATTTTAATATATTAATTTAATTAGAAGAATAAATAGGAGAGGATAAAGAAAAATAAAAGTGGTAAAATAATAATAAAAAATAATGAGTAGGTGACAAAAAATAAAAAATAAAAAACTTACAAGAAAAAAATTACACATACACAATAAGCATTACACTTATAAATAAATTAATAAATATTTTATTTAAGTAATTTCTTTTTTAAATATATTATTTATAAGATTAATTTCTAAATAAATTTTGAGGTAAAAGATGAAAATAGAAAAATAATAAATATTTTATTTATGTAATTTTTTTAAAATATATTATTTATAAGATTAATTCCTAAATAAACTTTGAGGTAAAAGATGAAAAAGGAAAAATAAATTAGAAAAATTATTTAATATAGATAATGAAATGAATCATATGCATAATAATATATAAAAATATATTAAAAATTGAAGATTAAAAATATGATGTTACAATCTTATAACGTTAAATATTTTGAACTTCTTTTATATTATAAATACATCTTTTAAATTTTAAAAATACCTAAGCGTCATGGTGATTTAGTCACCGGTGTTTCTTTAGCCACACGTGTCAAACACTTGCAATGGTAGAGATCCCACAAAGTGTCGGTGCTTGCTTATCAGGAAAAATCTCGATTTTGTTGCGGGGATGCTCTAAATCCATGAAAGATATTGATAACTCTCAGCAAACATTTTTACTTATTTCTTAAAAAATATATTAGGAGAAACTGTATGTAAAAAATTGCCCTAAAATTACTTAACTGTACTAGATTAAAAGGTAAAGGTGGCCCAATAGATTCCAGCTCTAGTTAACTAGTCCAAAAACATTGATAGGAAAGACAATATACATAAAAGTTTTCTATCCGTACCAAGATATGTCCACAAGACCATATATTTGCATCAGGCATACAGGCGCCGAGCTGTTCATTTTTCGTTCTTTTTGGTTTCTTTCTTTCGCTTCCTTTCAGATTGTGGATCTCTGGCTTTTAAATCATTGGAGACCGTCCTCAACAAGCCAGATAGATGTTCATTTCTATGTCCTGAAACCAAAATACACAATATTTTACACAGATCGAAACAAAACTTACGTTCGTTCTCTTGAAAAACAAGCAAAGGTTATGAAACTAACCACAAAGTATCACATCTTCCATATTTACAGATTTACGATTCGCATGCTGCGCAAATAGATGAAGATCCTTAGCCACGCGCTCTACTCACAGAATAGTTTCCTTCAGTTTCACTATTTCAGCTCAACAGCGGCATTGATAAAAAAACGTAAACTAATCTTAGGCGATCGATAAATAGGAACAGAAGCAAGATATGTGCACTGCTAAATTGATAAACTCGCAGGGGGACATTATGTCATACACGTTGCAATCACACAATTTTAATATACAGTGTCGTTCAAGTTAAATCTAACTAGGCGCCGGCAGAAAAGGATTGTGTAGCGAAACGATAGTGATGTTTGTTACCTGTATACTTGAACGCTAAATCCGCAATACAAGTGACTACGACTTTTGAAACTTCCATGCCGTTTTGTTTTGCTGCGTAATTGAATTGCCGTGCACGATAATGAGGAACTCGAATCTCAAGCGAATGAACATGTGAAATTCGTGAGAAGAAGAAGAAGAATTGAACCTTGGGATTCGGTGATGGAGATTGCGGATAGCCTGAATTTGTCTCTCAAGAGTTTCATTTCCGCGTCATTTTCCACTTCGCTGTTCGCGTCCGCGCTTTCCATGATCGACTTTGTTTTCGATTTGAAACCGAATGAAGGGAATACTTTTATATTAATGGGCTCTACTGAGACATGCTCCTCACTCCAATGCAAGTTGGGCCTACGTAGAGTTAACCGATCCGACTAATCTTTTACTCTTGAGCCTTGGAATAATCTAACAGGAAAACTATTTTAACAAAAAAAAGTAGTTCTTTTAAAAGAAAACTAGCATCTACATTTGTTCTAAAATTCTTTTATTTCTGAAAAATAAAGTATCAAAAAATTTAAAAAATAATTAAATATATTTTTTCTTACGTAAGGAATTGCGTAACAAAACAGTATTCTCCGGACTTGTATTTTCAAATTCATGCATTTATTATATACCTAAAATATTCTATTATGATAATAATGCATAATAAATACACATAATTATGCACAGTATTATATTAAATGTTTAATAATTAATATTGAAACGTGTATCATTTATTACTTAAGATAAACTATTTATTATTTAATTTTCTATATTTCATTCTTATTTAGAGATTTTTCACTATCTCTATATTTTATTTTTCTTATCCAGACTCTTTTTTCATTGTTCAGTAGAATTTAACCTAATATAAAACAAACCCAAACTAACCTATTCAAATTTATTACTTATTATAAAAAAAAAATTAATATTTGACGTCCACTAAAATTTTTAGTACCCACTAAAACCCCGAACGTTGATTCTCTTGGTCATCTTATCAAATTTTCAAAACATTAAAAATAATAGTTCCTATTAGAATATATATATATATATATATATATATATATATATATATATATATATATATATATTGTAATTTATATTTAAATTAATATTAGAATTACGATGATAATTTTTTATATCTTAAATATTGTAAAACCTATAAATGGAGAAAATGAAATTTTAAATTAGATCTCTCTATTGTTCAATCTCATGAAATTTTAAATATTTTTTCAAAAACCAATGATAAAAATGAGATACAAATTCTAGAATCAAAAAAAGTTTCACCATCAAACAAAATAGGGACAGATACAGAAAGGGGTCCTTTTTCAATTTTTATATATATATATATATATATATATATATATATATATTATATTTATATATTATAAAAAAATTATATTAAAAATAGTAAAAAAAGAAAAAAAAGTCTCAGATTTATTTCAAAAGTTATGGTGTGTAAATTTATATATTATAATATAATAAAATTATTATATTATATAATACTATAAATAAAAAAGTTAAAGAAGCTTATCAAAGTTTTTTTTCGTTTAAATTATTTCTAGATTCGTCCTAAAATAAAGTTAAAAGAACCTATATACTAGTTACAATTATAAATAATTATAGTAAGATTGTTAATATTTTTTTATATACATATCATATGACATTCTATAAATGTCACCAAATTAACTATCTAAAAATGTTATTTTCTATTACAAATGAAACAAACCCCAAATTATTAAAGAAAAATATTTAAATCTTACTTGAAATATTAATTCTACCTTAGTTATTTCTAACTTAGATTGTAATATATTACCTGGTTATCAAATAAAACTATTTTATCTTATATAATAATCTTTTGATCAAATTAAGAAAATAAATATAATAGTCATACATATTAATTCAAATCTTTTTTACCTCGATATGGTTGTATTTTTTATTTGTAAATAATGACATGATTATAGTTAAACATAATATTCTTTGAATATTTGTAAAAAATAATTAGTTAAGATAAATAGAATCAACCATATAAATAATATATTAAAAAAATTATTTAAATAGAATTTATATCAATTTATTTATTTAACTAGATTTGTTTATTGTTTACGTGTAGTTTTTATTTTATCTTTTCCTAATACTCTTGGTTAGCAAGAAAAAAATGGAAATAAAAAGAAAGAAAGATGAAATAGAGTGGAAAGTATAACTTATGTTATTTAATTAAAATTTAATATTTGTACACATACCAAATTATCTATACAATTATTTTTAAATTGTTAGAATATTTATCAATAAGAGAATAATTTTGTAAAATAATGTCTCTCTTACACTTTTCACGCTTTTCCGATTATATATCAGAGGAAAGTAAATATGTTTGTTAGAGTGAAAAGTGACATTTTTTTTGCTTTACCACTTTCCTTGTCATCGAATAAGAGAAATTTTTACTTTCTACTCATTTTTCTAACTTCATTACTTTTCACATTACACTGTGCAAACAAATGAAGTTTAAGTTTTTTTTCTCTGTTTTTTTTTCGTCTCACTTATTCTTCTAATTAAAAATACTATAATAAAATTTAATAAAAACATATTAAAGTAATTTTTTAAAATTAACATTAAAAATAAAAATATCAATTAATCGATTGAAATTATAATAATACTAAATAATTTTATTTATGATAATAAATAATTAATTTAAATTTATTTTATAATAATAAATAAATTATTCATCTAATTAAAAAATATTAAATATTTATGAGTTGAATTTATTTTTTATTTAGTAATATAATCTAGTTATAATTAGGTTGAGTTATAATGATTAATCAAATTAAATATTTTCTAAAAAATATATTAATTAAAAAAATCACTTTAAAATAAATATTATTTTTTAATAATTATAACAATAATATTTATGATACTCAAAATTTATTATATAATATTTTTTAAAATATAATATATTAAATTAAAGTATTTTAGTTCATTTAAATAATTTTAGTTTTTAGAAATAATAAAAGTTCAATTTTATTAAATTTTAATATAATATGTTTAAGTAGAAGAATAAGATTGAATGAGAGATGAGAGAAGAATAAAATGGAAAGAGAGAAAACAAAACAAAAAAACTTAGAATGATAAAAGAAAAAAACTAAAGAAATAAATAATAAAAGTGAAAAATAATCATATTATATCGAACAATCTTTTTTTTATTATTATTAAATTTTATATATAAAGAATTGAGTAAATAAATTAATACAAGTTCTATTTGTTTCTTTTAGAAAAAATATTTATAATATTACTCATATATAAAATAAAATAAATAAATATTTACCTAATATAAAGTCCTGCAATTCTGGTAGAATATAATCTCCATGTGTGTCCTTGGAATCTTAAAAAGAAAAAGAAAAAGAAAAATAAAAAGACACTATCACGAATAACTTCGTACAATACTTCTAAACTTATTCATTATGTATTAACGGTGTGCCACGTCCTTCAATGTCATATTTTTGTAACTTTTACGTTAATTGAGTCGTTTGACATTTCAGACGTTGCTAGAATCCACAACGTACATTTGAAAACATTTTTAACATGGTGAAAGTTTCCAAATCAAGTTATTTTTTCCTTATATATTTATTATTAAAAATATAAAATGAACTACATTTGAAATAGCTATTTTGATTTGGACACTGCGGGAGTTTTTTTTTTCCTTGAGTGACGAAGATATGATGCTTAAAAGTTTTATAATTTATATTAATATTTATGAATTTGTTTTTAATAATTAACTATATTTTTACAATTTTATGATTTTTATTAATATTTATGATTTTTATTTTGTAAATTTAATAATTATTAAATATATATATATATTTATAAATTTGACTTTTCACTTTTTTATATTTTTTATATATTTATATTTATTTATTATTTATTGATAATATATTATTTAGCCCTCTCAAGATTAATAATCAAGATTCATCACTGAATTTGGAGAATATTTAATCTTATAAGTTTCTTTCGAGTACGTTTCGAAGGGTGAACATTTATAAAATGTTTTTTAATGTTTAAATTAATATTGAAAGTGAATGAATAATGGATAATGAATTAGGAGGAAAGGATACCAAACTTTTTATACGATAATATACATGTGAGTGTAAGTGTTCGAGATAATAAGAAAATTTATCCTTATTCTGTATATCATTTTCAAGTGTATCAAATAACACCAAATATATCAAATTATTCCAAATATCTTGATTATATGTCGAATATCAAGGTTGGGTAGGGACATGAGTCCCTGAGTTCAAAAACCAAGTATAACTTTTAACATTACACTAAATGAGAAAAATTTGCAATGATTATAGTTTTATAATATTTTATTTTGAATGTAAATTGATGTGACTCATCTTCATCTTTATTAGTCATCTTTTATTTTATTTTATATTTTCTGCTTTGTCTTGCTTTTTGCTCTCTATTGCACTCTTGCATTGTATTTTTCTATAATTGTCTTCATCTTTAAGGTAGTATGCTACTCTTCCTTTTTGTTATTGGTGTGATGTATTTTTTTCTTTGAAGCATGTGTCTTCTCTTATCTCCAAAGAGGTACACTCCATTTGGTTTTGGGAGCATGAAGGGCATTTCCTCTTCATCTAATGAGATAGGGGTAACCGTTATGGTTGTTTTACCAGTGGTTTCCATTGAAAGCATTGAGGGGAAGATTGATGGAAATGTAAAACATGTCCCTACATTCTCTAGAGATGATTTTGATGATGATTCAAGTCAACAACATTCAAGACTCAAGCAAGACCAATATATGATTTTGATAAATATTTCATTCAAACATCAAGCAAGTCCAAGATGATTCTTGAAGACTAGATAGAGTCTTAGAATACTGGATATGGAGGTACAAGTTGATGAAGTGGTATTATGCATAAGCCTCCAAAGTACAAGTGTGATAAAATTTCGTAGCATAACATTTTTCACTGTCATAATTGATTATGATGCATCAGAAATGGAAAAACGATTTTTTTCTCTATCATAATTGATTATACTAGTAACATAATTGATTATGGAAATTCAAATTTGAAAAATATATTCGTTTTGAAGAATAAATGTGTTTAAAATACATCCTGATTTTTCTCTACGAGATTATTAATGATCAATGAATATTTTCTGATGTTATTTTCCTATTTAAATGAGTTTTGATGAAAAATAAAAAACACACAACTATAACTGGAAATGGGATAGCATAACTATGGATTTTGTAACTTCATTACCTCGAACACCAACTGGTCAC